TACAATTACATTATTCATTTTCAAAAAGAATTACCATAACTATAACAACTCTCTTACCCAGCTTAGGACAGGATTTGTTCTTAAAGCTGTCACAGTCCACACATAAGCTAGTCTTGTAATCTTTGTATGAACGACAAGGAAATGAAATAAAACTGCAGTTTGTTTCCAAAGCAGCCATGAACAAGTAAACTGCTCTCTGGTGGTCACATTTAATAAATTCAATTCCTTAAGGATGAAAAAAAAAATAAGCAAATGAACCGTTTATGTATTAGGCCGACTTTAAGTAAATTAGATTAAGTTCTACTAAAAACTGTGCACAATACAAGTAGTAAAATGTTGGCTATAGGCGTCAGCAGGCGACATAGAAATTAAGACACTGGACTCCCACATGGTCATCACAGTTCAAGCCCTAGACCCAGTGGCTGGAAACGCATGTCCGGCACGTGTGCGTCTGGTGAGCACACGTAACTTACAGTAAAAAATCTCATTAAAAATAAAAAACGTTGACTGTAATGTTATTTTATTGAAAGCTTAAAATTTCATATTCCTTTTGCATGAGATTTAAAATAAATTTTTCTATTGTAAAAATTAACACGCTTAATAATTTAACAAGCTCTGCAAATATAGTGCTTCTATGGTTAGTAATGTTTATATCTTTTCTTTCTAAACCTATACCGCTAACATTTCCACTCAATGTTAGAAATGACTATGAGATCAAGTAACATTAAAACTATATAATCTCCTTTCCTTTTCCCAACTTCAAACATCGTTTTCTTTGGTCAAAACTTCTTTAGCCTCAGTGGCCTTTAGTGTGTTACTTGGCCAGTTGCCATTATGAATGTAAGACTTTGATTGTGGCTTAAAGCCACAAAGTATGCCTAACTCCATACCTAGAGAAGCTATTCAGCTATTTCTATGGACCGGAAAACCACATATCAAGATTACAGAAATTTATTTGGTGATGGTGAAGGTAAAAGTTAAATCCTGATTCCAGATTTATATACTACGATACTGTAGTTACTTGTGCTTTCTCAGTGACTTAAATCTTCCTCTTATGTTTGATATGAACTAAAATCCTTGAACCCATGATATAATAGGTTTTAACCATGATCAAATGGGTTGACGACTGGTAACTTTTATGAACTAAGCAAGGACAATTTAAACCATTCTTGACCAACAATTCTCCTGAATCATGTGGGTAATGGTGATTAAAGCAAAATATGGTCACAAATTAAGAGGGGGAAAAGTACACTTTTCCATCATTTTTGAATCTTATGTAAGTAATTCCATGACATTACTGGCATACCTGAAAAAATTGATTTTGGACAGCCAGGTTGTTTTTTCCCTCCATTTGGATAAAAGTCTATATGTCCCAAGGGTTCTTGGATACCTAAACCTGAAAAGAAAAGCACCTCAGTATCACAAAGTGAAGAGAATTAGATCAGCAACACTTGAGTAAAATAAAATCTACAATAAAATAGATGGAAAATGATTCTTTAAAATTTTTATTTAAAGGGGCTGGCCCTGTAGAACAGTGGTTCAGTGCTGTTCATAGATAGTTGGAACCCATATGGCCAATTGTGGTTCAGAACCCAGTCCTGGTGGCTTGAGGTGTTTCCTGGGGAGATGAAGAAATGGAAGAAAAAGGACTGCAACATGACCATGCCTTATTGGGGGAGCTTCCTCTCTCTCTCTCTCTCTTATACAAACATCCATTAAAAATTAAAAAACAAACAAACAAAAAGGTTTAAAAATGAAATAAATCTTGGGGGCCAGCAGGCGGTGTAGTGGTTAAGGCGCTGGACTTCTACATAGTTGATTATTGTTTGAGTCCCAGAACTGGTGGCTTAAAACTCATGCTGGGTGTATGTGCATATGTGCTAAAATCCTAAGAGGAGAATGGATTGCAGCATTGCAATCCCCTCTGGGGGATGATTTCTCACTTTCCTTCTCTCTGTTCCTTTCTGTCTCTTTCTGGTGAGCATACACACTCTAAAAATAAAAAATGGTAAAAAAAAATCTTTAAAAAAATGAATAGATGTTTCTTTTTAAAGGTGTTGTAGTATTAATTTTTCAAACTATTTCTTCAAGAAAATGTGCATATTTACTATTCACCAGTTTACCAATGACAACTCACAGTTCTTTGTGCTATAAATGCATGAGAGAAAATAAGAAAAAAAGAAAAGCAGAAAAAGTTTGTAATGAAGAGCCAGTCTCTCAGCAAAGTATTTAAGCCTCATGCACTGGGAGCTGGATCATACATGACTGACCGTGGTTCAACTACCAGTCTAGCTGCTTGAAAAACATACAGGGTGTATGTGCGTGCATGTCTAAAATCCTGAGGGATTGGAGGAGAAAGTATCACAGTATGGGGGCCAGCAGACGGCATAGCAGTTACATCACTAGACTCCCACATGGCTAACTGCGGTTCAAGTCCTAGACCTTGTGGATTGAAACTCATGCCATCCACATGTTGTGTGTGCTCAAGATCTCAGGAGGAGAATGGAGGAGAAGGGATTATGGTGTGACCATCCCCCTGGTGGGTGATTTCTCTCTTTCGCTCTCA